CGACTGGAGCGGCCGGGCGCGGGCGCAGAACTGGCCTCGGTGCCAACATGGGAACCCTGCCCCCTCCCCCCACGATCTCTCTAAGGCGGGGGGGAGGGGGCTCATTTCGTTCGGGAGGTGCCGAGCGGAGCGAACCACCCTTTAGAAATCGTGGGGGGTGGGGGTAGGGCTCACATGTGGCCACTGGCTGGCCCGCCCGAGCAGGCGAGGGCGCACCGACGCCGACGACGACGACGACGGCCGACGAGGACGGCCTCGAGGCTCCCCGAGTCCGGGGTCGAGGCCCGAGGACGAGGAGCGACGGCGCGCAGCAGTCAGGCGAGACTGTGACCCCATGGGGAGGGCCCAGCCAGCCGCCTCAGAGAGGCAGCACGCGGCCGCACTCACCAGAGCAAGAGGGTGGAGGAAGCGGGCGACCCGCGCCTGCGACACCAGTGCGGCCTCGCCAGGCAGTCCTCCGTGTAAAGACAGCGCAGAGCCAAACTCCGCCCCCTCAATACGGAAAAGGCTCGTGTCGTGACGACCTGCACGTTGGTGTCTGCCACCGCGTGGAGCGCTCAACCGCAGACCTTGAACGATCGTGCGATGGCGGCAGCGTTCGGAACCACCGCCAGCGTTCAACCTTGAACACCCCAGCTGGGGTCGCCACCTCGTCGACACGGCACGGCCCTGCTGTACCAGCGCGTGGCGTGCACCCGGTCATGGGCAGAGATAGCCACGCCCCCCTCGTGCACCCGGGCGGGACTGGGGCGCCCCGACACAGCGGCCCCGCCAAGGACGGATTGCGTCGTCCCCTCGATCCCGCAGCCACGCGCCGTGCAGCACCACGGGGTCTCGCGGTTGGGCGGCATCTGTGCAGGCGCTCCAGCGAGGCCGCGCTCAGGCCAGTGACTGTGGCTGTGGCCGCGCCGGCACGCGCCCGTGTCCAGGCCGCAGGCCCGGGCAGAAGGCCGTGCCGTGTCTCTCCGTTCCGATGCGGGCGGTGCGGCGCGTGGGGCTTCCTGCTCCGCGAGGGCGGCAGGGCCCCTGCCGCGGCCGCTGCTCCCACGGCGACGGCCCCTCGTCCCTCGCCTGAACCGCGGCCAATCGGCGCTTGGCCGCAGCCGCGGCTTGCAGTGCTGGTTGGTGCTGGTGGCCGCTGTCACCGCACGACCGGCAGTGACAGTGATAGTGGTAGTCGTAGAGGTACTGGTAGCGGTAGTGGTAGTGGTCGTAGTAGTCGTAGTATTAGTATTAGTATTAGTATTAGTATTAGTATTAGTAGTAGTAGTAGTCGTAGTAGTAGTAGTAGTAGTAGTAGTAGTAGTAGTAGTAGTAGTAGTAGTAGTAGTAGTAGTAGTAGTAGTAGTAGTAGTAGTAGTAGTAGTAGCAGTAGTAGTAGTAGTAGTAGTAGTAGTAGTAGTAGTAGTAGTAGTAGTAGTGGTAGTAGTAGTAGTAGTAGTAGTAGTAGTAGTAGTAGTAGTAGTAGTAGTAGTAGTAGTAGTAGTAGTAGTGGTAGTAGTCGTAGTAGTAGTAGTGGGAGTAGTAGTAGTAGGTAGTAGTAGTAGTGTATACTAGTAGTAAAAGTAGTAGTAGTAGGAGTAGTAGTAGTAGTAGTAGTAAGAGTAGTAGTAGTAGTAGTAGTAGTAGTAGTAGTAGTAGTAGTAGTAGTAGTAGTAGTAGTAGTAGTAGCGTAGTAGTAGTAGTAGTAGTAGTAGTAGTAGTAGTAGTAGTAGTAGTAGTAGTAGTAGTAGTAGTAGTAGTAGTAGTAGTAGTAGTAGTAGTAGTAGTAGTAGTAGTAGTAGTAGTAGTAGTAGTCGTAGTAGTAGTAGTAGTAGTAGTAAGTAGTGTAGTAGTAGTAGTAGTAGTAGTCGTAGTAGTAGTAGTAGTAGTAGTAGTAGTAGTAGTAGTAGTAGTAGTAGTAGTAGTAGTAGTAGTAGTAGTAGTAGTAGTTAGTAGTAGTAGTCGTAGTAGTAGTAGTAGTAGTAGTAGTAGTAGTAGTAGTAGTAGTAGTAGTAGTAGTAGTAGTAGTAGAAGTAACGTAGTAGAGTAACGTAGTAGTAGTAGTAGTAGTAGTAGTAGTAGTAGTAGTAGTAGTCGTAGGAGTCGTAGTAGTAGTAGTAGTAGTAGTAGTAGTAGTAATAGTGGTAGTAATAGTAATAGTGGTAGAAGTACTGGTACTAGTAATAGTACTAGTAGTGATTGGGAATTTAGTGGTAGTCGTAGTAACAATAGTCGTAGTAGTAACCGTAGTAGTAATGATAGTAGTAGTCGTAGTAGTAGTCGTAGTAGTAGTCGTAGTAGTAGTTGTAGTCCTAATCGTAATCGTGGTGGTAGTAGTAGACGAAATAAAATGAGCAGCACCAGTAGTAGTAGTAGTAGTAGTAGTAGTAGTAGTACTACTACTAGTAATAACAGTAGTAATCGTGTAGTAGTAGTAGTAGTACTACTACGACGACTACTACTACTACTACTAATACTACCACGTGCTGGTGTAGTGTAGTGGTAGGCGTAGTAGCACTTGTAGGAAGTGGTAATAGTAGTCGCAGTAGTAGTAGTAGTAGTAGTAGTAGTAGTAGTAGTAGTAGTAGTAGTCGTAGTAGTCGTAGTAATAGTAATGGTAGTAATAGTAGTAGTAGTAGTAGTAGTAGTAGTAGCCGTCGTCGTAGTAGTAGTGGTAGTAGTAGTAGTAATCGTCGTAGTGGTAGTAGAGTATTAGTAGTAATCGTAGTAGTAGTCGTAGTAGCAGTAGTAGTAGTAGTAGTAGTAGTTGTAATCGTAGTAGTAATGGTCGTAGTCGTGTTACCACTACTACTACTACTACTACTACTACTACTACCACTACTACGACTCCTACTACTACTACTACTACTACTACTACTACGACTACTAGTAAGAGGAGTACTCGCAGTAACAGTAGTCGTAGTAGTAGTAGTGGTAGTAGTAGTAGTACTACTACTAAAAGTAGTGGTAGTAGTAAAGTAGTAGTAATGGTAATCGTCGTGGCAGCAGCAGTTACAGTGGGCGTGGAAGTAGTCGTAGTAGTCGCAGTCGTAGTCGCAGTAGTAGTAGTAGCAGTAGTAGTAGTAGTAGTAGTAGTAGCAGTAGTAGTAGTAGTAGTAGTAGTAGTAGTAGTAGTAGTAGTACGAGTGGTGGTAGTATTAGTCGCAGCAGCAGTCGCAATAGCAGTAGTAGTAATACTAATACTAGTACTGGCAGTAGTGATAGTAGTAGTAGTAGTAGTAGTAGTAGTAGCAGTAGCAGTAGTAGAAGTTGTAGTAGCCGTAGTAGTAGTAGTAGTAGTAGTAGTAGTAGAAAAAAAGTAGTAGTAGTAGTACCAGTAGTAGTAGTAGTCGTAGTCGTAGTGATGGAAATCATAGGGGTAGTCGTAGTCGTAGTGATGGAAATAGTCGTAGAAGTAGGGGTGAACATAATAGAAGTAGTGATAGAAGTAGTCGTAGTAGTGCTGGTAGCAGTCGCAGTAGTAGTAGTAGTAGTAGTAGTAGCAGCAGCAGTAGTAGTAGTAGTAGTAGTAGTAGTAGTGGTAGTAGTAGTAGTAGTAGTAGTAATAACAGACGTAGTAGCAGTAGCCTTAGCAGTAGCAGTAGTAGTAAAAGTATGAGTAGTGGTAGTCGTAGTCGTAGTAGTAGTAGTAGTCGTGATAGTAGTAGTAGAAGTAGTAGTAGCAGAAGAAGTAGTAGTAGTAGCAGCAGTAGAAGTAGTAGTAGTAGTCGTAGTAGTAGTAGTAGTAGTAGTAGTAGTAGTAGTAGTAGTAGTAGTAAGTAGTGGTAGTGGCAGTAGTAGTAGTAGTAGTAGTAGTAGTAGTAGTAGTGGCAGTAGTAGCCGTAGTAATAGTACTCGTAGCCGTCGTATCTGTAGTAGTAGTAGTAGTAGTAGTAGTAGCAGTAGTAGTAGTAGTAGTAGTAGGAGTTGTAGTAGTAGTAGTAGTAGTAGTAGTAGTAGTAGTGGACGTAGTAGTAGTAGTAGTAGTAGTAGTAGTAGTAGTAGTAGTAGTAGTAGTAGTAGTAGTAGTAGTAGTAAGAAGTGAGATTCTTAGTATTATTATGATTAGTAGTAGTAGTAGTAGTAGTAGTACTAGTAGTAATAGTAATATTAGTAAGAGCAGTGGTAGTAATAGTAAGAGTGGTCGAGGTAGTAGTAGTAATCGTAGTAGTCGTAGTCGTCATCGTAGTAGTAGAAGTAGTAGTGGCGGCGGCGGTCGCAAAAGTGATGGCAGAAGCTTGGGTGAGATGCTCGTGCGTGCGGAAATTCAAACAAGGATACACCAGAGGGCGATTGGAAGGCATATTTCCGGAGCTAAGATAGAGCGTATAAACGTGGTATGAACAACTCCCAGTAGTATTGCTAGATGGAAAACTATGATACACATGTGCTGATTGATGTGACGGTGGTATGGTATGAGTAACTCTCATGCTTCGGAGGTGGGAAGTAGGGAATGTAGAACAAGATATTGCTTTACCCTCGTTGCACCTTGAGCCCGCTGCGTGCCACACTCTACCCACCAATCAATCCACCCAACAGATCCCAATTGCTTGGCCGGACCGGAATCGGTCCAGTGGCATGACCGCCATGAGCGCCTTAACCCCATTCTCCTCCTCCTGCTCCTCCTCCTCCCAGGAGATGGAAAGGGATGATATGTACAAAACATTGCAGGAGCCCCGAGGCAGCATCAGCCCACGCCAGTGGCAGGCAGCCCTGGACCAGAATAAACTCTGGGCAAAACGTCGAGTCTAGCTATGGCACGCTCCCGAACCCGGACGAAAAACACATGTAATCTATCTCGGGGGGGATCTCTTGCTCCAACGGATTTCCGCATGCCTTCTGCATGCGGAACCGCCCCATGTTTGTCTGCCTGTTTCAGCCAGCCAATCGCCGAAGACGAACAAAAACGACCCGCCCACGTAAAGTCTGGCCGAGGAGGGTATCATTGCCTCTTCCCAGCATGTGAACCCCACCTCTTCTTTCTACCCCTCCCACACGAAATTGAAGCAACATCAGTCCTGCCGCTCATGAGCAGGAAGTCCCTGTCCTCTGGGTCCTGGAGAGCGGGTCTGCTGAGAGGAAGGGCCATGCAGGAAAAGCGTCACGCCATGCACTGCCAAGCGGTCTTCTTTATCCGACTCCTCCTTCACCTAGGCCCGCAACGACTGCCTCCTCCTTCTCGTGCTCCTCGCTTCCCCTGCCCCACGGCAACCTGATCCCATCGCCTCGTTTACCTCCGCTTGACGATCGCCCTGGAAAGCCATTCGTAATCCTCCCGGCGGTACCGTTAGCACCATACATCACATGCTCGCCAGCGTGGAGCCCCGCCTGGTGAGTTCTTGACCTGTGGATGGGGGAGCCAGGCGGTGCACAATGTGCGTGGTGCGCTCTGTGTGGTGTGAGCTATGCGGTGAAAGCTGTGTGGTGCAGGCAACGTGGTGTAAGCTGTGTTGTGCGGCCATCTGGTGCAATACACAGATGCCTTATGCATATGTGAATATATATATATATATACACATGTATATTCTGTATATATGTGTGTATACATATATTATACACAAGTTTGCGATGCAAGCTAGGTGGTTCACGCTCTGTGGTGTAAGCTATGCGGGCGCCCACGGGGCGCCCATGGGCGGCCAGTAGGAGGGGTGAGCTGCTGCGGAGCACGCAGCGTGGTGCAGTGTAGGTGGTGCGAGCAACGTGGTGTTAGCCATATGGTGCAAGCCAGGGCCGGACCTAAACGTTGTTGTTCGCTATGTTTTCGTTTTGTTCATCGTTTTGCTCTACCTGTTCTCCTGTACCTCCCTGCCAAAGCGAATCACAAAACACAGCCGAAGTACAGGAAACAGCGTTTCGGTCCAGCCCTGGTGCAAGCTATGTAGTGTGAGCAATGTGGTGTCAGCTACGTAGTGCAATTCGCAACCGCGCAACATCCACGCATGACCACCGCCCATTCGCGTGCAACCGTCCCAACCTTCCGTAACTGGTTGACAATACTCACATAAACCATCATGTCAACTAACGCACGGGCGCATGGAACTCACCCGCGCAGACGAGCCCGTCCCCAAAATCGCGCAATGCTGGTGGCGATGGTGACGGGCGCGACGTCCACGACGATGGCGATGACAGAGGTGATGACACTGATGCCGACGGTGATGGCAGTGGATATGATTACGAGAAGATGTCGGCGACGACGATGGTGACAGATGATGAAGACGAGGACAACGACGACGACGGCGATGTTGACGCACACGATGATGATAGTGACTGTCCTGATGAGGTTGCTTCGAAGGTGCTCGCCACTCAGAAGCCCAAACACCGTGACATGTTCTTGCTGAAAGCAATGGAGTTCTCCCGTGTCGCTGATCCCCTCTGTGCCCAAACATGTGAGAGCACCAGTGGTGTTGGGGACGGCTTTCGACGCACACCGCGCGGAGGAGGCGCGCGTGGCCCGCGCGGAACTGTTTGACCGAACTGGTGGGCGCGCGACGGTGGTTGAACGCTTCTGCCATGCGCGCGCAAGTGGCCCGCGCGTCCTGGCTTCGCAGAACGGCTGAGCACCGACACCTTCGTTGAGATTTCGGCGAGTGTGCGCGCGTAGGGTTCTGGTACTTCCTTCTTGAACAACACATGTTTTTTTTGCTTGTTTGTTGAAGAGGTGGTGATGAAGACGCCAGTGGTTGTTGCAGGATGTTGACGTGCGCGTGCACGGCGGCTCGCGCCGGCGCGCGCGCATGTGCCCTGGGACGCATGCTCTGCAAAAACAGTTCAAGACGGCTTATCTTAGTTCAACGCACGCGCAAGAGGTGGCAGGGGGCGTCGATACTGGCCGAGCTGGCATGCGATTATTTCGCAGGTAGGTTGCGCTTGCGCAGAAGAACAGTAACGACCGACAACACGCGGAAGCGGCCATTTATCCCGGCCCCAGTCAGGGAGGATTTCTATTCTTTTTACAACTGAGAATATCTTCGGTATATGCCTTAGGTAGGGCATGTCCTCCTACAGGGGGTTTTTGGACGAACAATTCAAACATCTTCAAACTATTCGTGAATGATCAAACGTGAAGGTAGGAAGATCGTCCCCCGACAATCTTTTTACACAACTATGTTTGCGCACTCCTCTCCTGCAGAGGGACGTGCTCGACCTCATGCAAGCTGCGTGGTGCAAACCACTTGGTGCAACTGGTTCGGCCGCCCACGGGGCGCCCACGAGGCGCCCACCGGGCGGCGGCGCGGCGGATCCTCTTCGGACCCACCCGGCGCACGGGACGCCCGCAGGGCGCCCACCGGGCGGCAACGCGGCGAATCCGGGACCGACGCCGCGCATCGCGCGGGGCACTCGCGAGGCGCCCACCGGGCGACCGCGCGGCGGAGCCTCGGCAGACCCGCCCAGCGCACGGGCCGCCCGCCTGGGCTCGCCGCAGCCTCTGCCAGGAGAGCGCCCCAATACATCACACCAGTGACGTCCGTTAAACAGATCACATACAGGAGCCTCACTGGATTCCAGTTTGGTTGATCAACTATTCTAGGGGAACAAAGAGTGGCATAAACCTAAAAACTCGGAGGTCCGCGCGGATTTCTCGGATCGGCGCTGGACCCCATCCCTGGCGCGCGGAGCGCGCCGGGGGCGGCGCCGGAGGCGCCGTCGGGGGGCCCCAGCGCCGATCCGAGAAATCCGCACGGACCTCCGAGTTGTTATGTTTATGCCACTCTTTGTTCCCCTGTATTCCAGTTGGGCACGGGCGGCAGCGTGGCGAATCCTCGACGGATCCACGCCGCGCGCGGGACGTCCTCGGGGCGCCCAGTGGCGGCGCGCGGCGGGCATCCTCGACGGGCCCACCCCGCGCACGGGCCGCCCACCGAGGAGAGCCAGCAGGCGGGCAGAAAGGCGAAGATATCCTTATGTCGGGCGTGTCCCCTTACAGGGGGATTTTGGCCGAAAAATAAAACAAATACCCCCAAATAGCAAAACAAATAACCAAACAATAGTCCCCAGACTATGTTTGGGTTATTTTTTGACTATTTTTGGGGTATGTTTTATTTTTCGTCGAAAATCCACCTGTAGAGGGACAGGCCCGACTTAAAAGACATCCTCGCCAGGCCGGCCCAGCGCACGGGGGCGCCCACGAGGCCCCGACGGGCGGCAGCGTCGAGCGTCTCTCCTCGACGGACCCAGCACAGTCCTCGGAGCAGCGAGGCAAGAAATGCACACATGGCCTGGGGAGCGAATCCGTATTTCCAGCGCTGGCCCCGTCAACGATGTCGTCAGCACAGGGAGCGAGCACATGCGCTCACTATATGTGCCAAAAGCCGCCTCTGCATGTCCACCGATACAACACATCTGTAGAGGTGTCAGTGTGCGCATCCATATGTACATGCACCAAATACATCATGTACATTTGTATGTGCGAACACATATACACATATACAGCTGTGTATACATATATATATATATACATACATACATACCTTCTTTAGATATCCACCAACAAACAGATACACTGGCCACTTGGGACCCCGGCGAAGAGGGAATAATCGAAGGTGGCGATGCGAAGGCCGCCGTATGCCCCAGTGCCCAATGACAAAGACCGCACATGAAAGCGAAGAGGAATCGTAAGACGCTTTCGAAATCAATACCGAGCAGCAGGATCTTGCCAGAACTCCGAAGCAATTGACGAGTAATCGAAGAGGGGGCGCAGAAGAGTGTGAAGATGCGGACCCGCGTGGACATAGACAATCAACAATCCGACCAGAATCCATACATTGATTGTTTCCCCAGGTGATGCCATAAAGAAGTCCACCAAGGGATGCCGCAGACGAACTCCTCGAACTCCACGCGATATCTCAGCATATATTCAGAACATGTGTTAAAACATGACATCAATAAGTCGCCCCGGTGATCGCCATGGCAATCTAATGCGCACGGGGATTTCAAATGGATCCTAAGAGAATTCCAGAAGGAACCCCCGAGGACTCCCCCCGGAATCTCGTAACAAAATCAAATCAATACCCGAGGGATCTTGAAGGAGCCCCAGCGCACTCTCAAGATTCCCCCAGCGGAACCTCAGAGAAATCCAGAGAAATCCTAAAGAGCAGGGGCACAAACTCGATGGGGGCAGCGAGAATGAACACGAACAACACGACGATTGAAGACACGGCCTCGCGTGGACATAGGCAATGGTTACAGTGGAGGCCAGTCCACAAGAAACCTTCCACAAGAAACCCAACACTGAGATCCTAGGACGCCCATGGATTTTTGGCGTGGGAAAGTCACGCCTTCCACAGCACAACCATCGACACCCAAGAAACCCAGGGCACCCTGGAGGCAAGCAGGGTGTTTCTTGGCAAGGGCCCACACTGTACAGACTGCCTCTTCAATGTGGAATCTTACACTCTCAGGGGCTCCTATGGAAGATCCACGAATATCGCAGACGCGTTCCTCGACCGCTCCCGCGAAGTGGCCGCACTTTTTCAAAGTAAAGTGAGACACTGGCCCTGGTGGTCGCCGTGGCGGCTCAGCACGCACAGGGATCTAAGCGGACTCCCGGAATAAGCATCAAGGATTTCCGGCAGAACCCGATGGGGCTCCCCAAACGAAAACCAAAAGAAACTTCGAAGGCCCCCAAAGGATTATGATCGCAATTTCAGCGGGATCTTAGACGAAAGCCAACAAGGGATCAACACAACACATCAAAGCCAAAACAGTCAAAGCAAACTGCTTCAAGCAATCCCACAGGTATGTCCCTCTTTAGCCCGAGCGAGTGAGCGTGCAGACGCGTGGTTGAAAAGCGCTGCGGAATTTGTGGAACACGCCCCCATTCAAGATTGACACAACACTCCCTCTGCACATCTGGGGTAGGATCCCCGGCGATGTCCGCTTGGCGAAACACCCTCCAGGAACGCATCGGTAGGAAGCCCATCGTCGGAACCACCCAGGACCTACGAGGCCCCATAGGAAGAAGCCACGACGCAAGGGTACAACGCCGTAGTAATCCATGTGTGCACATGTATGTTGGCGTGTAGCCCAAACATGCATCTTAGCATTGTGAAAAACGAAGGCTACGTTACGCAATATAAGTGGTGTACTCTATGTGGTCTGAGCTCCATGATGTAGGCAATGTGATGCAAGCAATGCTGTGTAAGCTATGTGGCACGGGTTATCTGGCGTCATAGCTGCGACGTAAGGTAGACAGTGCAAGCTATAGCGTGTAAGTTATATCGTGTAAGGCATGTGGTGCAGACTATACGGTGCAACCCTTGTGGTGCAGCATGTTTGGTGTGAGCTACATGGTGCAAGCCGTGCAGTGTCAGCTATGAGATGCAAGCTGGGCAGTGTAAGCACTGCTGTGCAATCTAGGCGGTGTGAGCGTTGTGGTGTCAACTATGTGGTCCACGCAAGGCGAGCATTTTTTTTATTCGGCGTTTCGACATTGGGCGGCAAGGGGGAGGGACGGGGGGGGGGTCTGGCTCCAGACCTCAGCTGAGTGCGACCGTTTGCAAGAGTGCGGCCCCTGGGGGAGACTCCACCGGCTCGAGACAGGCGCAACACAACAGCCAAGATCTACTTCATCAGGGGGGGGGGGGAGGGGGGTTTGGGAGCCCGCGCCGATCGGCAAAGCAATGCCTAAGAAGACGATCACAGGGCAGTGCAGCCCACGTGGTGTACACAACGTGCCGCGTGGTGCAGTCCACGTGGTGCAGCTGCTGCGGTGCCAGGCTGCGTGGCGCAAACCGTGCGGCCGCCCACGGGGCGCCCGTGCTCGCCGACCGAGCCCCCTCCTCCTCCTCCTCCTCCTCCTCCTCCTCGTCCTCCTCCTCCTCCTCCTCCTCCTTGTCCTCCTCCTCGTCCTCCTCCTTCTCCTCCTCTTCCTGCTCCCTCCTTTCCCTCTCTCCTTATCCTCCTGCTCCTCCTCCTCCTCCTCCGCCTCCTCGGCCTCCTCCTCCTCCCTCCCTCCTGCCTCCTCCTGCTCCTCCTCCTCCTCCTCTTTATCCTCTTTAGGCTCAAGCGTGTCATGGGTCCTGCCCCGCCGCCTCAGCGCGGCGTGCTTGTGGCTATCCGCAACTCTGGCATTATTTCTTGAGACGCGGGTCGGCTAAGGGCGGGGCAATCGTGTCAGAGTCAAGTTCCATTTCATCCTGCTGCATTTTCCTGGCGTTCGTGGACGTCCGTGGGATTCATCTTCCCCGGTTCGCGGAGCCTCACGGTGCATACGATGGTCACTGTTGTATATTGTTGTCGTCATGGTGCTTTATGCTTTCGTCTCCGCTCTCCCATCACGGTGCATGTCACGACGTTAGTCGGCTCCTTGTTCGGCAACCCGCGGGGGTTTTGGCTGAGCCAGGCCAGCGCAAGGCAGACGTATTATGTTGTATTTCAGTTTCAGTTTCTGTATTGGCTGAGCCTGGTCAGCGCAAGGTAGTCGAATGTTGGGGTGTCTGGAGTGGTGTGCTATAGTGGTGAAGAATCATCCGAGGAACCTGAACCTTGTTACTTAATTGGAGTGCTGTGCAATATTGGTGAAGGGGCATTCGAGGAACTGGTGCATGCTCCTGCTCTTCGTGCTTGTCGGCATCGTGTTCGTGGCGGTTGGGGGCGTGGTGGTTACCAGGGCAGTGTTGATGCCAACGGCAATCACACATGTATATATATATATATATATATACATCTGTATATATATGAGACGAGTGGCAACCACAGGTACATGGTGTTGATCGCCTCCTGACCTGAGCATGGCTGTCTATGGGCTCATTTGTTTGCTAGGATCGCTCCGCGATTGTTTTCACTCACTCCTCCCTCCTCCTCCTCCTCCTCCTCCTCCTCCTCCCTCCCTCCCTCCCTCCCTGCCTCCCTCCCTCCCTGCCTCCCTCCCTCCCTCCCTCCTGCCACCTTCCTGCTGCTGCTCCTCCTCCTCCTCCTCCTTCTCCTCCTCGGGGTGCCCTGCGAGGGACCGCCTGTCCTGGCCGCCCCAGAAGGCCTCGTACACCTCGAATGCGTCCTCGTCGAACCTCGGCGCCCGCTTGCCGCCTTCCCACCCCCGCCGCCTCGTCCCGCTCGTCCTGCTCGTCGTCCTCCTCCCCCTCCTGCTCGCTGTCGTATGCGTCGTCGTCGTCCTCGCTCCCCCTCCTGTTCTCCTCTTCCTCCACTTGAGTGTGCAGCCCAAGCAAAGATCAGAAACCTGATCGGACAAGAACGGGAAGCGCCGCTTTAGTCTATTGGGCGTATTAGGCGAAGAAGGAAAGGAAGGCGAGGACAACGAGGAGTCGATGACGAGGACGACGTGGCGAACGTGAGGATAGCGCGGAGGAGCACGAGGACAACGAGGAGGAAGATAAGCACAAGGACGATGACGAAGAGAACGAGGGCGAGTACGAGGACGAATGCGGAGGGCGACGACGACGACGACGACAGAGGACAGAACGAGGCAATTGGAGAAAGACGTTGCTCCTGGCGCCGCGCGGGGTTCTCTTGGGGCCTGTTGGGGGCTTCTTGGGGGCCCCTTGGGTCCTCTTATGGGCTTCTGGGGTCTTCTTGGGCTGTCTGGGCGCGTCGTGGGGTTCTGTGGGAGCTTTCTTAGGCCGTCTCGGCGCTGGGGGCCTCCTAGGGCGCTCCCGGGAGTCTCTTGGGGCCTTCTTGGCCCTTCTTGGGCCGTCTTGGGGTTCTTGTGAGCTGTGTGGGTGGCTCCTAGAGCGCTCTTGGGGGTCTCTGGGGGTCTTCTCGGGGCGCTCTTGGGCGCTCCTGGGGCTCTCCGGGGCGTCTTTTGGGCCTCCCTTGGGCCGTTGGAAAACACTCCAAGAGCGATTCGAACACGACGTCGACGTCTTGGCGTTATCTTGGACTGTCTTGGCGTTATCTTGGACTGTCGTGGGGCTCTGGGGGCCTGATTGGGGCCCGTGGGGAGATTTTTGGGAGCCTCTTGGAGGCTTCTGTGACCCTCTTGGACTCAGGCGTCTCTCGAGGGTCTGTGTGGGCTCTCTTGGGCTGTCTTGGCGTTCTCTTGGACCGTCTTGGGGCTCTCTTGCCCAGTCCTGGGGCCTCTTCGCGCGCTCGGGGGGGCCTCCGGGCGCCTCTTGAGGGCCTCTTGGGGGTCTCTTGGGCCGTTTTGGGGGTCCCCTGGGGGGCCTTTGGGGGCTCTCTTGGGCAGTTTTGAAGCCCTCCGGGAGCGACTCCAAGATAATGCCGGTTCGGAGTCCCCTCCGGAGCCGATTTTTCGAGGATGTCCCGAGCGAAACGGCCATTTTTCCGGAATCCGCCTCTTCCTCCACTTGAGATTGTGCAGCCCAAGCAAAGATCAGAAATCCGCCGACCCCTTGGGGATCATCGGCGTGTGAAATTTTGTTTCTCCCCAAACCCTTCCCCCGGGAGCCCGGTCCGGTCGATTTGGAGGGGGGGGGGTCCGGCCAAATTCCCCGATTCCCCCAATTCCCCCGATTCCCCCCGGGTGGTCATCCGCTCCCGAAAATCCTGCAGGGACTCTTCCGGTGGCCTCGAAATGGCCCCGGGACGCACCACGACGGCTCAAGAGGACCTCCACGTGGCCTTCGGTGGCTCCAAGATTCCCCATTATGGGCTCAAGACAGCCCACGATGCCTCCAAGCCGCTCCAGGAGGCCCCGAAGGGGCGCTCCAAGAAGGTCCAAAGCAGCGAGAATCATTGATTTTCCACGGGGAAGCGTACATTTTTTGCATCGACGACTTTTCCGCCTGCGCGGAGTTCCAGCCAGTCTAAGAGGCCCCCAAGGCCACCCCATGACGTCCCAAAAGGAAGCAAAAAGGATCGCAAAAAGGCGCCCAAGACGGCCCAAAACGGCGCCAAGGCGGCCCCAGAGGCTCCCGAATCGGCCCAAAAGAGCCCCAAGACGGCTCCTAGAGGGGCCCCAGCGGCGGAGCCCGAACCGAAAATCCGAGCCCTCCGCTCCCACCTGGCCCTGGGACACCTCGCGAGCCGCCCAGAAGGTCCCAAGAGACCCCGAAAAGACCTCCCAAAAGCGTCCGACAGGCCCAAAAGAGGCCCCAAGAGGTCCCAAAACGGCTATCAGTGAACTTCGAAACTACCTCCACGAAGCCTGCGAGATGCCTCCCCAGAGATCCCAAGAGGGCCTAAACACGGGCCGAGAAGGATCCCCAGAAGCCTCCAAGACGGCCCACGAAAGCTCCGAGACGCCAAACGACCTCTCCGACTTCGGTAGTCTTCTCTTGCACGCGCCGCTCCTGTCGCCTTTTGATGGTTCCCCACCTGCTGCTGCTGCAAATGTTTCGTGTCCGAGAACGTTCCTCCGCACGCCGCGCACGTCACCTCGCACCTCGTTCTCTCGCCCCTCCGCGCATTTCCGGCAGAGCCTCTCTCCCGATGAATTGTGCTTTTGTGTGCACCCGACATTTCCGCCTGCTCTTTCAACCGCGTCAGACATGTCTTGCTCGAGCGCATTTAAGGGGTCGGCGGATGTGGCGTAAACCTGAAGAATCGTTGCGTCCGAGCTTCCTCATCCTCCTCCGCCTCCGCCTCCTCCTCATCCTCGCTGGCCCCATCTCGAATACCGCAGGGCTGCACGGGCTGTTAGTGAGATCGGGTGGGGTGGCGTAGGACGAGGGGAGGACGGCGTAGGGAGGGGGGAGAGGCAGGAGGGAAGGAGTTGAGAAGGGAGGGAAGACGGCGAGAAACATGAAGGAGGGGGGGACGCCGGTGACGAAGACGACGACGGGGACACCAGCACAGCACTCAAGACCATCAAGCCGTCTGTTGGAGGCTTGAAAATTGGAACCAACACCAGCACAGAGGGTTGCCTCCACCTGGGGAAAATGATCCTAGATTTCGGTGTTGGTGGTCATATTTCGGTCACCTTGGAAGCCAGAGTATTACCACCATCACCGAGATCTGGATCGTCTTCCCTCGGTGGAGGCACACCGCCGATCTTGGTGTTGGTGTCAACCTCTAGGCCTGCGAGTCTGAGGATGACATTGGAGAAAACGCGTGGCTCGGGCTGGGGCGCTTTAAGCCATTGCTTTAACCCACTTCCGACGTTTCGCCCAGCTGCTGCTGCTGCAAAGCATGCCGGATGCTTGAAACTCTTACCCTGCCAGGAGCGGTGGGATCAGAAGAGCGCCGACGCCGACGATAGTTCAAAGCGCCAAGAAGGGGGCGTGGCAAGATCGGGGGGGCCCCTCCTCCGATGGAGAAACAAGCGGACGAAGACGAAGACGGCATCACGACGAAGACGCCTCTTATCCCAGATCCTGTCCTGATTGCAGACTATGAAACCAGAGTCGACCAAGAACGCAACTGATAGAGAAAGAAAACACGGCATAAACATAAACTTTTGGAGTTCCGCGCGGATGTCTCGGATCTGGGCTAGAGACCCCTCCCTGTCGCGCGGAGCGCGCCAGGGGCGGCGCCAGAGGCGCCGCCAGGGGGTCCCCGCGCAGATCCAAGAAATCCGCGCGGAGCGCAAAAGTTTAGTTATGTCTTGTGTCGTTGTTTCTTCCTCGAGCGAGCATGACAACCACTCCTTCGGAAGCCCGGGGCGGGCACCGACCTCGGACTCTCCCTCTGGCAGCCGACGGGCCACAACCTCCCGGGCCTCCACCGGCCGCGCGGGACGATGTCCGGCACCCCAGGGCGCGCTCCCGGCGAGGCGCAGCTGCTGGAAAGCATCCCGAGGCCGGAAGAGCGCGGGACACGACGAGCTGCACCTATCCTCCGACGGTGCATCTCGTTTCGTGGCCTCGTCCGAATATCTCGACCACCTCCTCTTGGCCGGCTTGTCAGTTCGAACTGTGTCCGTCGACGAGCTGTTCAACGAAGCCGTGGCGATTCTTGCTGCGACGCCCGGGGCCTCGGAATCCCCAACGACCCTCACCGCGCGGTCCGCCACCACACGGAGAACGGCCCGAGTCCCGAGATCGTGCGGCAACCCAGAACTCAGGAGGGGAAAAAACACACAGACACAATGAATCGTCGACTCCAAGGAAAAGATGGGAAAATATGGGAAGTGGGGGGGAGACAAAAACCCAGAACGTATGAGAAAATATGGGGAATATTTTTATTTGTGTGTATTTATTCGTGTGTCCTGGGGCCCCTTCAAGAACCCCCCCTGACTTACCACGCGTCTGGCTGGAGGGCAGGTCCAGAGGCTCGGGGCGCAGGGCGCTCGGGAGGCGTGCCGCTCTCCTCTTCAATCTGCAACGCCTGCTTGGAATCCACCGGCCGCCACGGACGACGCCCCCACACCTCCAAAGCTGCACCGACGATCGGACAATCAAGTCGTCAGCTTCCTGCGCGCAGGTCTATACCCAAACATGCGCCCGTCCCGATTTTTAGACCACGGTGTCCCTACAAGTCCCGACCCTTTCTCAACTGGCTTTTCATCCCGAGCCGTCCCTTGACGGTCCCGAGGGCCGGCGGGGGGCCCCCCGAGGCCGAAACTGGCCAAAAACCTCACACGTCCAGTTTTTTGTTTTCCGAGCGCGAGCATGTCTGGGGACCTGGCCTGTATCAGGAGGGAAAGAAACACACAGACACAATTAATCGTCGATTCCCCAGAAAATATGGGGAAATATGGGAACTGGGCGGGAAGACAAAAACCTAGAAAATATAGGAAAATATGGGGAATCTTTTTATTTGTGTGTGTGTTTATTTGTGTGTCCTGGGGCCCCTTGACTGTAGGAGCAGGCGTGCTCCAACCACGCGGCGTGGCCGCCACGCCGCCTGGGGCCCCCCCCCGAGACGCTCCGCCTCCGCGCCTCCGACCGCAGGGCTGCCCCGGCGCCGCGGAGGAGGAGGGGGGGGAGGAGGAGTAGGAGGAGGAGGAGGAGGAGGAGGAGGAGGAGGAGGAGGAGGAGGAGGAGGAGGAGGAGGAGGAGAGGGAGGAGGAGGAGGAGGAGGAGGAGGAGGAAGAGGAGCAGGATCCGGAGACGCCGCCCACGGCCGCCGGGGGGGAAGCGGAGGCCCGGCTGGGCGCCGCGCACGGACCTCTCGTAGCAGCCTTGGCGGGCGGCCCGGCGGCCCAGGCGCGGCCGAGCCGACCCTCG